TAGGTCATGATCTTAGGGTTGTGAGATCGAGCGCCTTGTTGGACTCTGCACTCACCAGGGAGTTTGCTTGAGATTCTGTCTCTCCCCTTGCTTCTCCCTCTGCCTGTACTCTCTCTCTCTCAATAAGTACATAAAGAAATAAATAAACATTTTAAAAATTCTTAAAAACAACAAATGGTATTTCCATCATATGTGAAATGAATCCTAGGGCTAATCTGAATTTAATTTTATTTTTATTATTTTTTAAGATTTTATTTATTTACTTGACAGAGATCTCAAGAAGGCAGAGAGGCAGGCAGAGAGAGAAGGGGGAAGCAGGCTCCCCGCTGAGCAGAGAGCCCGATGCGGGGCTCCATGTGGGGCTCGATGCGGGGCTCGATGTGGGGCTCAATCCCAGGACCCTGGTATCATGACCTGAGCCGAAGGCAGAGGCTTTAACCCACTGAGCCACCCAGGTGCCCCGCTAATCTGAATTAAAAAAAAAAGACTTCTTGAGGCACCTGAATGGCTCAGTCAGTTGTTGGGCATCTGCCTTCAGCTCTTGTCATGGTCCTGGTGTCCTAGGACACCTGTCCCTTCCTTTGGGCTCCCTGCTCCATGGGAAGCCTACTTCTCCCTCTCCCAGCCCCCGCTTGTGTTCCCTCTCTCACTGTCCGTTAATTATATAAATAAAATCTTTTAAAAAAATAATAATTAAAAATAATAATTAAAGGGGCACCTTCGTGGCTCAGTGGGTTAAGGCCTCTGCCTTCGACTCAGGTCATGATTCCAGGGTCCTGGCATTGAGCCCCACATCGGGCTCTCTGTTCATCAGGGAGCCTGCTTCCCCCCACCTCTCTGCCTGCCTCTCTGCCTATTTGTGGTCTCTGTCTGTCAAATAAACAAATGAAATCTTAAAAAAAATAATAAGAATTAAAAAAGACTCCTTAGTGGGTGCCTGGGTGGCTCAGTGGGTTAAGCCGCTGCCTTCGGCTCAGGTCATGATCTCAGGGTCCTGGGATCGAGTCCCGCATCGGGCTCTCTGCTCAGCAGGGAGACTGCTTCCCTCTCTCTCTCTCTCTCTCTGCCTGCCTCTCTGCCTACTTGTGATCTCTCTCTGTGAAATGAATAAATAAAATCTTGAAAAAAAAAAAAAAAAAAAGACTCCTTAGTGAGAAAAAATGAACAACCTATTAGAAAATGAATAAGGCAGCAGTTCTTGAAGCCTATTCTGGTGACCCTTTCAGACGGTTCATGGTTATTTTTGTAATAACGCTGAGGTGTCAGTTGCCTTTTTCACTATGTTGACATTTGCACTGATACTGCAAAAACAGTGGTGGCCCTTAGCGTGAATTCAGAAAGTGGCAGTGGGGCAACTGGCTGGTTCTGTTGGAGGAGCACGTGACTTTTGATCTTGGGGTTGTGCGTTTGAGCCCCACATTGGGTGGAGAGATTACCTAAATAAATACACTTCAAAATAAGAAGGAAAGTGGCACCCACCTGTACAAATGTTACAGGAATTTTTATTCCCTTACTGCCCACAGTTCTTGGTCATAGTGCTTCGAAGAATGAAGACAAAGATCAAAGAGTGGTGGGCAGCAAGGCAAAGTTTATTGAGCAATAATAGTACAAAGCTCCCAAACAGGGAGGGGACCCAAGAGGGTTGCTGTTTTGGTGTTCAAACCTGGGAGTTTTTATAAGCTCTTTGCAGAACTTTCTGGAACCTCCTGAGTGTGGGGCCTCTGTGGACTGACTGCTGAGGTGTGCCAGTGAGGGCTTTGATCATGCTCCCGTCTACCTATTGGGTTATTGTTCATGTGTTGATGGTCTTTTTGGGCTGACCTTTGGAAACTAATTGCTTCAACTTGTGACAGTGACAAATGTCTTATGGTTGTTTTGCTTCAGGATGTTTTGCAAATGTCACTTCTGCAGAGGCTGCTAGACAGGATGCTATTGTGGTCTTGTCTAAGTGGTAAAACAGGAGACTAGTGCAGTTCTGTCTTAGCTGTCCCGGCACCCTAATTGTCCAACTAACCCCTAACACTAGTGTCACATTCTTTACAACTGTGTCACTTTCACTTAAGAAAATCCTTGAGGAAGCAATAAATCACTAAGTTTATTAGAACTTGGCCATTGAATTCACATCTTTTTTTTTTTAATAGACTTAATTTTTAGTGCAGTTTTAGGTTACAGGGAGATTGAGCAGAAAGTATAGAGTTCCCATATTCCCTGGGCCCCCACATATGCACAGCCTCCCCCACTATCAACATCCCCACTAGAGCAGTACACTGATAAAATCAGTGAAGCTACATTGACACATCAAAATCACCCAAAGTCCATAGCTTATATTAGGGTTCACTTTTGGTGGTGTACATTCAAGGGTTTGGACAAATATGTAAGGGCATGTATCTACCATTGATAGTATCGTACAGAGTATTTTCTCTGCCCTAAAAATCCTCTGTGCTCCGCCTGTTCATCCCACTTTCCCCCTTAATCCCACTGATCTTTTTACTGTCTTGACAGTTTTGCATTTTCCAGAATGTTGTATAGTTGGAATCATATAGTACGTATGACTGGCCAATTTCAGATTGGCTTCTTTCACTTATTCTGTGTGTTTATGGTTCATTTAGGTCTTTTCATTGCTTGACAGCTCATTTCTTTTAGTGCTGGACAATACTCCATTGTCTGGGATGTGCACAGTTGATTTATCCGTTTACCGACTGAGGGACAGATTGGTTTCTTCCAAGTTTTGGCAATTATAAGTAAGCACCTTTTTGTGCAGATATGTTTCCAGCTCACATGGGTAGATATTAAGGAGTTTGATCACTAGATCATATAGTAAGAGTATATTTAGTTTTGTAAGAAACTGCCAAAATGTCTTCCAAAGTGGCTGTACCATTTGGCATTACCACCAGTAACAAATGAAGGTTCCTGTCATTCCATATCCTCACCAGCATTCGGATTTGGATTTTTTGCCAATTTGGTAGGTATGTAGTATCTCTCATTGTTGTCTTAATTTGCAATTTCCTAATCACATAGGATGTTGAGCAATTCTTATGCGATTTGCCATCCATCCACATATCTTCTTTGGTGAGGTATCTGTTCAGATCTTTGGCCCACTTTTCAACTGGGTGGTTTCTTTCTTATTGTTGAGTTTCAAGAATTCTTTGTCTTTTTTTTTCCAAAGATTTTATTTATTTGACACAGAGAGAGAGACTGCAAGTAGGCAGAGAGGCAGACAGAGAGAGAGAGAGGGGGGAAAGCAGGCTCCCCACTGAGCAGAGAGCCTGATGCGGGGCTCGATCCCAGGACCCTGAGATCATGACCTGAGCCGAAGGCAGAGGCTTAACCCACTGAGCCATCCAGGCGCCCCTCTTTGTCTCTTGAACCGTAGTCCTTTATCAGATACATCCTCTGCGAATATTTTTCTCCCAGTCTATGGATTGTCATCTCATTTTCTTTTTTTGATTTTTAAGGTTTTATTTATTTGACTGAGAGAGAGATCACAAGTAGGCAGAGAGGCAGGCAGAGTGGGGCGGGGAAGCAGGCTCCCCACTGAGCAGAGAGCCCGATGCGGAGCTCGATGCCGGGACCCTGAGATCACGACCTGACCTGCAGGCAGAGGCTTAACCCACTAGCCACCCAGGTGCCCCTGTCATCTCATTTTCTTAAGCTTCTTTCATTTTTAATTTTATAAACTCTGTATTGATTCAATTATTTCACTGATTGTAGTAACTTTTAAAGATAGCTTTATTGAGATAGGATTCACAGGCCATACAGTTCACCCACTGAAAGTGTGTACTTTCAATAGTTTTAAGTTATCTTCAGGGTTATACAACCACAATTGAATTTTGGGACATTTTATCATCCCAGAAAGAAACCCTGTGCCAATTAGCAGCCACACTTCCTTCCTTACCATCACCACTCCCAGCCCAAGGCAACCGCTAACCTACTTTGTGTCTCCATGGATTTACCTATTCTGGACATTTCATACAAATTATGTCCATATAACATATGGACTTTCGTAACTGGCTACTTTCACTAACAAAATGTTTTCAAGATTCATCTATGTTGTAGCATGAATCCATGCTTTGTACCTTTTATTGCTGAGTAACTTTGTATGGCTACATGATATTTTATTTATCCATTCTTTGGTTGATGGAGATATGTGTTGTTTTCACCTTTTGGCTATTATGAATAACAGTGCTATGAATATTCACGTGCAGACATTTGTGTGGACAAGTCATTTCTCTCGGGGGTAGATCTAGGAATGGGATTGCCGGGTCAGATGATAACTCTATATTTAACATTTTAAAGACCTGCCGAACTGTTTTCCAAGGCAGCTGTACCATTTTATATCCTTACCAATGATATGCCTAACTTTTGAAATTAAACAGGCGTTTTAATTTTTTTAATTTTTTTTAAATTTTTAATGTTTTGAAAGATTTTATTTATTTATTTGCCAGAGAGAAAGATCACAAGCAGGCAGAGAGGCAGGCAGAGAGAGAGAAAGCAGGCTCCCCGCTGTGCAGAGAGCCCGATGCGGGGCTCAATCCCAGGACCTGAGATCATGACCTGAGCCCCAGGCAGAGGCTTTACCCACTGAGCCACCCAGGCGTCCCTAAACAGGCGGTTTTAAAATATTTTATTTATTTGAGAGAGAGAAAAAATGGCACAGAGGGAGAGTGATAGCCAGAAGCAGACTCCCTGTCGAGCAGAGCCCAATGTGGGACTCGATCCCAGGACACTGAGATCGTGATCTGAGCTAATGGCAGATGCTTAACTGAGCCACCCAGGTGCCCAAAGAGGCACTCTTTTTAAAGAACCCAACTCTGTTTCAGATGGAAGATAGTAGGACCTCAGTAAGTGTTGAATGGAAGAATGAATGGGTGGTTTGAGGAAGGTGAGGAAATGGACTGAAAATGGCAAGCAGGGTATGAGATGGAGGAACCCCTGACAGTGACTTTCACTCCAGCACCAGCTGGCCAGGCCCCTCTGAACTCCGTGTGATTCCCAAACAGGATCAACCCACTCCTTCTGAGTCTGAGATTGACCTGGAGGCTCTCTTGGAACTATCCACAGAGGAACAGAAGACTCACTTGGAGGTAGAAAGTGGGGCTGGGCTTAGAGTGGGAGGAACCCAGGAAGCCAGGTTTTGCCTTCTTGAGTGGCATGGGGAGAACCAATTCAGAGGGGAGGATTCCTGGGAGGGCTGAGTGGAGGCCTGTGGGAAAGTGCTATGGTCGGGGACCCACTCTTTGCTCTCTTCCACCTAGGCTATTCTCCGAAACTGCCCCCGCCCCACAGAGGTAAGGGATGTTCTGCAGGTCTGGGGTAAGAGGGACCCAGAGGGGAGGCAGCTAATGAAGAGGAGTGTTTGAAAGCCCAATGTTCTTTTCCTCTTCCCCAGCTCTGGAGACCCTCTCTGGGGTTGGGGGAGATTATGGAGAGCAGTGTGTTGGGTGGGTGTGACCCCATGCTTTGATCTTAACAGTGTTTCTCTCTTAGCCTTTTATCTCTGAGCTGCTCAGTGAACTCAAGAAACTCCGGAGACTCAGTCGGCCTCAGAAATAAGCCTTGTGAGACTACCTTCAGCAGCCTCAGCATGCCAAGCTGTCCCTGAACCTTTGAATCCTGGGCTGAAAGGACACAGGTGATAGCCCCGTGGGACAGACAAGGAACGTGGAAGATGAGGAGGGACTTTGGATATTCCTAGTGTATGTGCAGTCATAGCTGGGCTTTCTGGAAGCCGTTCATGGCTGTTGCCTGGTACTTTCCTTGGCAGCCAAGTGGATAAAGCTTTTGGGAGTCCCAGCTGAATGGAGTGTGCAGCATATCTTTCCTGAGGGGCGGGGAGGGGAGGGTAAAGTGATATACCAGGGGGCCAGCATCCTGAGCCACCAGGCTCTATCCATACCTCCTCCGTCCATCTACCCAAGTTGGCCTTGAGCATTCAGAGATCACAGTTCTGCTTTAGAGCCCATGATCTAGCAAGGGCTGGAGGCCAAAGAGGGCACGAGACTAGGACACACAGCATTCTGCATCACTGACAACAGGAGCCCAAGTGGCAAATACTAGCTCTGAATCCCAGAGGAGAGGTAACAGGTAAAACCTAGCAGGGTCTGGGGACATCAGGGAAGGCTTAACCTTCCTGTCCCCCTAAATGAGTCAGGAGGCATCAGGCCGAGGACTATCTTGAGCAGGCTCCAGCCAGCAGCAGAAAGAGAAAAAGCAGGAAATAAGCAGACAGGTACAAAGAGTTACAGGCTGAGAGGCCAGGAGCTCAAGAGCATGTTGCTGGAAAGCTACTGGGTCTGAATGGCTGGCTGGCAGGTTGGGACAGGAGCCCGGGGAGGTGGCATCATTTGGGAGTAAGGCAGAAAGCAGGGTAGGCATTCAGTGTCTGTGCCTGCACCACCTGAGTACAAGGGAAGTTGAGGGATCCAAGATGTTGGGGCTTGGGGGCTACTCTGGGGTGCCCAGAGCAAGATGCACAGTTCAGATCAGTTGAACGAGTATCCATTGCCTACTTCATATGCGGCCTCCAGGGTGGATGGGACTGTTTCTGCCTGGAGAAGCCTGCAGGATGGTCCCACCTTTTTTCGTACTCCACAGGACTGCACTTTTTTTTTTTTTAAAGATTTTATTTATTTATTTGACAGAGAGAGAAATCACAAGTAGGCAGAGCAGTAGGCAGAGAGAGAGGGGGAAGCAGGATCCCTGCTGAGCAGAGAGCCCGATGTGGGGCTCGATCCCAGGACCCTGAGATCATGACCTGAGCCGAAGGCAGAGGCTTAACCCGCTGAGCCACCCAGGCGCCTCCAGGACTGCACTTTGAGTGGAAATCCTGCTCTTGCCACCTCTCCAGGGGCTGAGGCTCAGAACCCACAGGGTTCTAAAGAGAAGAGGTGCTGGGCCCAAGACATCAACATTTTTTATTAGATCCACTAAGTACCAGGGAAGGGTCCTGGGCCCTTGAGCAAGTTTCAAGGCTCATCGCCCTTAGATTCAGTCTCGTCTTTTCCCTACCACGCCTCACTCCCAGTCCAGGCCCGGCCGGTGGCGGGCTCCTGACTTCTGCCTTCCTTCTGGCTTCCCCCAGTTACCATCTTGAATGGAGAATGCTTCCTTCTTCCGGGGACACTGAGGCTCAGGAAGGGGCATATCCAGGAACAGGCTAGCCTGACTCACTCTCCCATGGGGCACCCCGAGGCTGGGCCCAGGGGTGGGCGCACCAGCCTGCACCACTGCCAGTGGGCTTGCCTGCCTGGTTTCCTCAGTGCTCTCGGCCTGTGCGAGGTGGGCAGTAGGGAGATGTCTGGTGCTCTTTAATTTCAAAGGCATCGTGGCCTTCCCTGCGGAGCAGAGAGAGACAGGTCAGGGATCACGGGTAGCCCTCGACGTCTCCCAGTGCAACAGAACATTCCAGCCGTACTCACCGGAAGCAGCGGGCGCAGTAGAGGTCCCCATCACAGCCAGCACAGCGCAAGGTGGCGTCCTCATTGCAGATGCAGCACCAGGGGAGCTCCTCATCCTCAGCTTCGAGCCGGGCGGCCATGGCCTGGGCCTGCCAGGACCAAAGAGGGATGGGGGAAAGAAGGAAGGTGTGTGGGAGACTGCTGCAGAAGCGGCTGGCCAGTCAGGGAGGGAGGCTGTGGTGGCGGCCGGAGTGGGGGTGCTTTTCTCACCTCAGGCTCTGCCCTGCAGGACTGGGCCGGGGCTCGGAGAGTGGGCTCCACAGGGATGTTAAAGCCACTTGCCTCATCCAGGGCAGCTTCTTCGGTGAGCTGTGGGCAGAGCGAATAGGTACAGCTCCCTGTTCCAGGACTAGACCCTGACTCTTTTCCACAAGAGGATTTCTGTGCTCTGTGGCCTTAGCTTCTCAACCCATCTCCCTTTATCTTTTGCCGGTGGCGGTTGATATCCTATATCCAGGGGCCAGTAGGCAGGTCTGGGTCACAGAGACAGAGGGGGCCCCAGGGAGAACCGGAGCTGCAGACTGGCCACTCAGCAGAGAGCAGAGGCAGGGTGAATGGGGCCAGGTGGGGGGCTGGGGCAGTGAGACAGGGACAGGACAAGGGCTGGTCAGGTGGGTCAGGCAGGGCCCACCTGCTGCAGGACTCTCCGGATGGCTGTCTCCTCGTCCTCCTCATCGTCACTGTCTGGGAGGTGATAGTCCTGGAGGGTCACTTGAAGAAGGAACGACAGGAGAGGACAAGTAACATGGAGAGAGTTCGCCTGAGGAGCTGTACTTTTGCCCCCCAGGAGCTGGTTTGCTTTCCAGTGGCACTTGTTCCAGAGCTAGGCAGCCTCTATCGCCACTGATCAGATCCTGCCCTTCCATGCCCCACCCTGCAGGGCTGGGGGACGGGAACAGAAAACTTTGCATCTGAAGGGACTGGGGGTTCCAGGCCCCTGATGGCTCCTATGTACTCCTTTTCTACTCTTTCTCCCCAGTACCTTCCTTGAGGCTCTGGGCAGAGCTCAATAGACCCCTGGGCACAGGAATTCCCAGTATCTGACCCAGCATGGCCGGAAGTCATCATTTTGTAGAGGGTGGCGTGGGGGTGTGTGTGTTGGGGTTGGGGGGCCTGCTTGATGGACATGAGTGAGCTGCTGCTTCCCAGCCTCTACCTTTATCAGGGTCTTCGCCCCGCAGCACAGCCAGGCGCTTGGCGAGGGCCAGGATCCTCTCCTGCCTCGTGTTCTCTTCCCGCAGCTCGACTGCTGCCTCAGCCAGCAGCCTGCTCTTCTCTTCCAGGGACCAGGTGGTCTGCCCCTTGGAATTAGTGCTCTGGCCCCCTGGGCCACGTTGGTTGAGGTCATTCTGGACAGAGGCAGCTGGGAGGAGAGAAGCAGTCAGGGAGGTAGTCATTCCAAGATCTCTCATCAGAAGCCAATGAGCCTGTTTCTCAACTTCTTTTTTTAAAAACCATAGATTACCAGCTTTTTGCTCAGTATTAGCTCCTGTGGTTTATATTACCAATAAAATCAATCTTTCCTCCATTTTTCCAAATGTAAAATACTAGTAATCCTTGAAATGTTTTTTTTCCAATTATATCCATCCCCACTCCTGGTATTTTTACATGTTGGCCAAAAAGATGAGGATATGGAAACGCTAAGCTACTCAGCCAGTTTCCTGCCTTACAGGCTGGCATGAGTATTTCCAGAGGGCAGCAGAGAGGACATGAGAGAGGATGTGCTTTTCTGTGGTAGGAGGCAGGAAGAATTCTAACCGAGTGGGTGTGGCCCTGGCACTGTCCCCTTGAGCTCAGCGTTTCAGAGCAAGAGGTTCAAAATCAGACAGCTTTGAGCTCAAGTCCCAGCGCTGCCACGTAATACCTGTGACCTCAGTCAAGTTCCTTAAGCTCACCAGGCCTTCGTTTTGTTTATAAAATATGGATAATAAGAGTATGTATAAGATTGTGGAGGCTATTCAATGAGATTATGTCTCTAAAGCAGAGCTTCTCAATCTTAGTTCACTGCTATTTTGGACAGGACAATTCTGTTGTGGGGCCTGTCCCAGGCACTTTATGGATGTTGGGCAGTATCCCTAGCCTTTGCTTGCTAGGTGCCAGTGGCACCCTCTAAGCTGTGACCAGAGGGTCTCCAGATAATCATCCCTGGGAAATCATCCCTGGTTAAGAACTCCTGCTCTGAAGCATTTGGAATGTTTTCCAATAGGATTTTTTATAATAACAGAAATGTTCCATATCATTGTATTTGTGCTGCCCAAGATTGTCGTTCAATAGCATTTGAAATGTGGCTGGTACCACGGAGGAACTGAGTTTTAAATTTCATTTAATTATTATTAGTGTTTGTTTGTTTTTTTTTAAAGTAGGCTTCATGTGCAGTGTGGAGCCTGATGCAGGGTTCACACTCACAACCCTGAGATCAAGATCTAAACTGAGATCAAGAGTCAGATGCTTAACTGACTGAGCCACCCATGTGCCCCCAATTTCACTGAATTTTAATTAAATTTAAGTAGACTATTCCTCATCCTTATCATCATAATCTTCATTGCAGAGAACATTTGCTGACCACTTACTATGAACCAGGAGGGGTGTTAAGTGCTTATTAGATTAGCTCACTTAATTCTTGTGATTTCCCCATGAGGTGGGTTTTATTACATATACTTCCATTTTATAGATGAGGCTAGTGAGACTTAGGTCATATAACTTTCCCAGGGTCACAGAGCTAGTTTAAGTGGTAGAATAAGAAATCACCCTCTGATTTGAAAGCCCACACACTCATCTGCGAGGCTTACACTGGCTCCTGTTTGAATAAACCATAATTTACAATGTTGATTGTTCTCTGATTTATATGTGTGTCCCAGAGGGTGGGCAGCAGAGCCCATCCTACTTGGGGAAAGAGTAGGGGGCAGGTCCCTGGGGGACCCAGGTGGAGAAGTTACCTGGGCCTCCTTGTTGACAGCTCTCATCAATAGCCACTTGTGCTGCCAGCTCTGTCAGCAGATCCTGTGCCTGCTGGGCTTGGGTTCTGGTGTCTGGTGTCTGATGTGCCTGCTCAGAGGAAGGAACTTCAGTGGGGAGCAGGGCAGGGGGAAAAGCAACGCCGTAAGGCACAGAACAGTCTAGGTTAGGGGTGGATGCTGACGTTTCCAAAGCTCAGGGAAAGGGGACTAATCCAGGGCCCACATAATAGAGTAGATCTGGCCATTCTTTCCTGTCCCACCCCATCATGCTGCTTGTCCCTGGTTCCTTGGCCTCGAAGCAGGCCTAAGGATCATGAGGTTGGGGTGGGTAGGTTTTGCCAACTTCTACGAAGTACATAAGCATACATGTGTCTGGGCTTCAGCAAGGTCCTTATCCTAGGACCCCTGTACCCCCCAAGAACTCACAAGCTGGGGGATCTGAGAAGGTGGAACTCTGCCCTGCAGTGCAGCAAGCCGTGCCTCCATTTCTTGGGTGGAAGGGATGGAACCCCGGGGTTCATCCCTCAGCGCAGCTAGCCTGGCCTCTATCTCCGCCTGTGAGGCCACTGACTCTGAAAGCGGTAGGGAGAAGCCCTGTAAGATCCCGAGGAATCCTAGTCCCAGGAGGTCTGGATGGTTCTTTTAGGTCACCCGGTCTGCCCCCACTCACTGGGCTTGTTCTGTTGGCGGAGCCGTGCTAGGCGCTCAGCGATTACTTGGTCTTGATGGATCAGTCCCTGGCTCTGGGGAGTGCTGGGCTTCTGCTTGGCTTCCAAGGCAGCCACACGCCTGGTAGGGTATGAGATATGAGAATTGAAGATTGAAGAATGCAGAAGGGAGGGGTGAAGGCACCCACTCACCATTTCCCATTCAAATCACTTCTAGGCATCCAGGGAGGACTCCAGTGGACAATATTCTGTGGGCCTCATTCATGTCACCCTGCAGCCCAATCCAGCTGACCAATCGGAGGGTCTGACTGAGAGGACAAGGTCTACCAAGAAATGTTTTTGGGGTGAGGGCTGAGAAGCTACTGTCTGAGCCCAAAAGGGCATCAGGAGGCTGAGATATGACATTCTCTTGAACCTGTGCTCATTTGATCTAGAGGGTGGGAAGAGAGTCCTGCCCTATGGCTCCTTTGTCTTTTTCCCATCCCTATTTGTCTCTGTCTGTTCAGCACTTACTTCTTATAGTTCTGAGGTGGTGACCACTTGGAAGCATTGGCAGGAGATGACCCTCTATAGGGAAGAAATCTGGTATCAGAAGTCCCGCCATCTGCCAGTCAATGCCTCCCACCCAAACACTTCTGGAGCTGATCTCTAGCCACAGAGCACAAAGCTGTGTGGGCTGGCCAGCTGATTGGTACCATGCTTGGCTAAACCCTTGCCCATGTCAACTTCTCACCTGGTCAGGACCTCGTGGCACTGCTTGCAGACTTTCTGTTGGGTATTCCCAGTCCGAGGCACCACTGCACTGAAGCTAAGGCAGCCAGAACAGAAGGCCCGGCCACAGTTCTTACAGCCATACTAGAAGAAACACGAAGTAGGAGGTTCCATCTCTCACCCTCCCCTGTAGGCTCCTCCCTGTGACTCTCCAAGCACACAGAGAGGGAAGGCACTGAAGTTGTGACAACTGCTGGGAGGAGGATGAGCAGTGGGGCCCCTAAGGCCTGGGCAGAGAGAGGGGTGGATTCAAATCAAATTAAATAAAGCTTTATGCAAAATTCAAATCAAATAAAGCTTTATGCAAAATTCCCATGCTTTCTACTCTTGTCTTCAATTCCCTGATGATGGGGTGTAGAAAACAAACAAGAAAAACTTCATGCTGCAAGTCACTAACTCTTCAACAAAGGAGTATCAGAGAGTATAGAGTCCCTGCCTTCTCTGCCTCAGCAGAGATGAAGGGTGGCTTGGCTTCAGTATGGGATAACAATAGTCTCTATTTATTAAGCACATACTCTGTGCCAGGCACTAAATTCAGTACTTAATATTCATCATCTGATATAATCCATATAATTTATACACACTACTTTACTTAATCCTGATGACCACCATTATTATTCCTATCTTAGATGGGGTCAGAGGGGTTACATGACTTGTCCAAACCAAGCTCATTCCATGAATGAGACAGCAGAGCTCAAATCTGAACCCTGACCACCCTGATTCCAAAACCCAGATTTCTAAGTGTTACACAGATCTGCATTCCTACTGCTATTCATTCTTCCAATCTGGTTTCTATCTCCTGGTCACAAGTGGGCAGAGGAAGCCTATAGTTTACCTGGAGAACTTAGGGGCCGGTGCAGAGAACGAGACTTTCCCGTGGTGCTCCGGGAGCAGAAGGAAGGGCAGTAATTTAACTCAAGAAACCTGGGAAGGGCAGGCTGCATGACGGTGAAGGTTTCAGAGCAAAGGGAGTGACAGGCATAGTGTGATGGGTGGTCACAGGATAGTAACTAAGACTGGGCTGCGGAGGAGCAGGATGGAGGGAAGGAAATAGCTGCATATTAGACTTGGTGGACAGGAAAGCCTACCTTTCTAGAAAGGACAGGAGCGTGCTCTACGTTTTATAGGGCACTTTCACCTCCAGCACCTCTCTGGACCTTCATGTCAACCCCGAAAGCGAGGGAGCGTTAAGCCCATTTTACAGAAATGGAAACTGAGGTTCAGTGACTTCATCAAAACCACACAGCTGGAAAAGGGCCATAAAACCAAGTCTACGGACTTCAAGTCCTGTGCTTTTCCTCCACTCCACATCCTCCCTGGCCCTCTAGCCCGCGGGGAGAAGACTCGCCTCCTTCTTGAAGAGGGTAAACTTCACAGCGCAGCCGTAGCACCTACTCTCCATTCCGGTGGCCGGCGAAGCACCACAGGTTCCACAGAGCTGAGAGATCGCTCCGCGAGGTCCCGGGACCCTCCGAGTTTCACTAAGCTCCGCCCCCGTCCCACGCCCCCTCGCGCGGGCTTGCTGCGGCCTCCCGCAGCAAAATCGCGTTCGGCCACTCTATCCGGAGAGTGGCCGCGGCAGGCGCGGTGGCTGCTGGGAGGCGTAGTTCATTCGCGGCTCCTCCCTTCCCTCAGAGACAGTCAAGCCTGATCCAGAACACATTTCCCGGGGGCTAAGCGCCACTCAACCGGTTTCCGGTGACGGTCCTGGGGGAAATCCCTACGCACGCTTAGGCTCTTGGGAGTTGTAGTACGAATCCAGTCAGGGTTGGAACCATGGCGGTGGCCAAGGAACTCTTACAGATGGACCTGTATGCGCTGCTAGGTATCGAGGAGAAAGCGGTGGACAAAGAGGTGAGAACCGTGGCGAGGAGGGCCGAATCCGACTGGCCTGGTGGCCCTTTCTCTCCTGGCGCCTCGCCATCGCTGGCAGCCGCTTTACAGGTTCCGGCGGGCCCTAGGCGGGGAATGAGGGACGGCCCGACAGCCTCAGAAGGTGGTTTCCCAGACGTTTCCTGGATGGTCTGACAGCCTCACGAGGAGTTGGGGTACCCAGAAGGGAGGCTTCTAGCGCTGGGTACGGTGCTCTCCCTCTGGCCTTTGCCTAGGAGAGGTAGCTGGGTGAGCCTGAGAGGGAACCCTAGTCCCCTCCCTGCGCCTGCGCAGTGTCAGCCTCTGAGTCCACTTTTGCCTTTTCTCCGTTGAGCTACTTCTTACGGTCACCCCCTGAAGGCTGACTTAACTCCGCTTAAGCCTAGGGCTGAAAAAAGACCTGTCTCAAGGCTCCTGCCCTCCCTTGCCATCCCTTTCTTGGCAGTGTGACCTGTGATTCTGCCATCTGTTTTCCAGCCCAGCCCATTGTTGCCCTCTGAAAATGTGCTAGTGAGCTCAAAGCGGGAGGATCAGAAGAGTAAAGCGAGAGGGCCTGAAGTTCCACGGGAAGGTGTTGATAAAGGTGCCAGGAAGTGGGATTCTAACTGATCAAGCTGTAATTAGGATTTGTGTTATTATCCCCTGGATAACGGTGGAGGTTGTAGCAATGTAGGAAAGGGAGGCGAATAATTCATCAGATGAAAGTTAATGCCTTCGAATGTCCCTATACTTCATGAGCTGTGTGAGCTTGTGAGAAGAGGAAGCTCTGGGCAAGATCAGTAGGGTTCTGGGGGAAGAGATGCTGTCAGCCTGCACATCACTGTCTCCTGCAGCTGCAGCTGAAATCAGAAGTTGGCCATTGATGTGTACAGAGCACCAAAAGCATTCTGCTAGACCTGTCTCATAACTCTTAAAATTTAATATTAATAATGCCTAACATCTATATAGTGCTTCCTATGTGCTGGGCACTATTCTGAATGCTCTGCATTTGTAAACTGTTTAATATGTACTTCATAAATAGTGAGAAATTATTTTGGACATTTTGCATCAAATCCTGCCTGTGTGTTGGAACCCTGAAATCGAGAACTCGGAGGAAGGAGGTTGGGAGCTGTTGATGTGTCTATCACTCAGAGGTGGGGGTGGGTAGATGAGCTGCTACTAAGGGAGTTGGGTGAGGCCATTGTCTAGACAAGAGACCAAGGTCTAAGCAGGCCAGTATCCAGTTTTCACTCAAAAGAGGTAAGGAATATGTGAGAAGGTGGTTTATAAAGGGTAAAAGGTGCTGTTCCTACTTGTCAGTAGGCGAGGCACAACTATAAAATAATGGAGAACATAGTAAATTCCTTAAGAGGATATATAAATGGCCAGTAAGTACTTGAAAAGATATTTAGTACCACTAATCATTAGGTAAATACAAGGCAAAACCACAATAAGATACCACTTTACACCCATTACAATGGCTATTACTAAAAAAAACAACCAACCAAACACAGAAAGTTACAGGTGTGGACAAAGATGTGGAGAAATTGGAATGCTTGTGCATTGTTGGTGGTGGATGCATCTGCTGTGGAAAAGTGTGTTGAGTCCTCAAAAAAATTAAACACAGAATTATCATACAATTCAGCAGTTTCGCGTCTGTGTATATACCCACAAGAATTGAAAGAGACTTAAATAGATATTTGTACACCCATGTTCATAGTGGCGTTATTCATAATAAGTAAAAGGTGGAAGCAACCCATTGTCCACCATTTCTTATGTGAGTTTCCTTTTATATGAGGTTCTTTGAGTAGTCAGATTCTTGAGATAGAAAGTAGAATGGTGGTTGCCGCAGGCTGGAAGGTGGAGGTGGAATGAGGAATTAATGTTTAACTGCTACAGAGTTTCGGTTTTACAGGATGTAAAAAGTTCTGGAGACTAATTGCAGTATTGGTTACATGCTAATGTGAATGTGCTTAATGCCACAGAACTGTACACTTAAAAGTGGTTAAAATGGTGGAGGGCCTGGGTGGCTCAGTTGGTTAAACATGTGACTTTTGATTTCTGCTCAGGTTGTGATCTCAGGGTTGTGAGATGGAGCCCCACATACGGGCTTTGTGCTGGTCGTGGAGCTTGCTTAAGATTCTCTCTCCCCCTCTCCCTCCAACCTTACCCTTCTTTTTTTTTTTTTTTAAAGATTTTATTTATTCATTTGACAGAGAGAGAGATAACAAGCAGGCAGGGAGGCAGGCAGAGAGAGAGGAGGAAGCAGGCCCCCCCGCGGAGCAGAGAGCCCGATGCGGGGCTCAATCCCAGGACCCTGGGATCATGACCTGAGCCGAAGGCAGAGGCTTTAACCCACTGAGCCACCCAGGTGCCCACAACCTCACCCTTCTGCACTTGAGTCCTCTCTCACTACAAAAAAAAAAAAAGAAAGAAAATTTAAAAATGGCTAAAATCGTAACTTTTATGTTATGTATATATATTTTTTTAAGATTTTTATTTTACCTTTTATTCATCTATTTGACAGACAGAGATCATAAGTAGGCAGAGAGGCAGGCAGAGAGAAAGAGGAAGGGAAGCAGGCTCCCTGCTGAGCAGAGAGCCCGATGTGGGGCTCGTTCCCAGGACCCTGGGATCATGACCTGAGCTGAAGGCAGAGGCTTTAACTCACTGAGCCACCCATGCGCCCCATATATATTTTTTTTCTTTAAAATATTTCTTATTCTTTTTTTTTTTTTATAAACATATAATATATTTTTATCCCCAGGGGTACAGGTCTGTGAATTGCCAGGTTTACACACTTCACAGCACCATATTTTATTTTTTTAATTAAAAAATTTTAAATTAAAAAATTAAAATATTTTATTTTTTAAATTAAAATTTTTTTATTTTTTAATTAAAAATAAAATATTTTATTTTTAAAATTAAAACATTTATGTGTGTACACACACACACATATATATTTTTTTTAGAGAGAGAGAGAGAAGGAGAGGATGAGCTGCAAGGGGAGGGGCAGAAAGAAGGAGAGAGAGAATCCCAAGCATGCTCCATGCTTGCCTGACGCAGGGCTCAGTGTCATGACCCTGAGATCATGACCTGAGCCAAAGTCAAGAGTCAGAGGCTCAACTGACTGAGCCACCCAGGTACCCCTGTTATATATATTTTATGATGAAAACAACCAACTAATCAAACCAAACCAAAACCAGCACAAAGAAGATTGTTTGACAAAGACCATATTTGGCCTCCTAAAATTTTTGGCCTTTTACAGAAAAAGTTTGCCTACCCCTATTAGAGGTAGGGGCAAGGGCAGCTCCACCTTTCTGCACATGAAACTTCCCCCTCTGCCATCGTCCTGGTGTAACAAACCTAGGAGGCCCAGAAGTGGGCTAAACACCACCATTGGTGGAAATTTAGAGGCTCAGCAATTCCTAGGTAGAGATTTTTGTTCCCATTCCAGCCTCAGAGGAGATAGGCAGGTATTATCTCTTATATAATAATATCTTCTTCTAGAAAAGCCTTGAATTAAAGACCTAGATTTGGTGTGGAAGTGCTCCTGGGGAGAGGATCATGCCCTGGGAATTCACTTCCTTGCTAGAACCCGAAGCAGTGAGCCCCTTATTTTTACCTGCGCATGGGCACGTGCCTGTGTGTGTGCCTGTGTGCATGCGTGCTCCCCCTATCCACTTACGCACTCACTCAGTCTCTGTTGGAGCAGGGCTCTGTCCTGGGAAAGGCCCCCATCTTCTCTGCCAAGATGAAGAGTACATCATGATTAATGCCATTTGGAAACCTTCAAGAGATTCTGAATTAGTCTCAGGAATTACCTGGGTGACTGCAGTGGCCTTCTGGCCCTTTTTCTAGTTCTGTCTTGCCACCTTAAGCCTCTTCACACAGCAGCCAGAGTGAGCCTTTAAAAATGTGAATCAGGGGCGTCTGGATGGCTCTGCCTTCCACTCAGGTCATGATCCCGGGGTCCTGGGATTGAGCCCCAGCAGGGAGCCTACTTCTCTCTTTCCCTCCCACCTACGCCGCTGTACTTGTGCTCCTTCTCTGTCTCCCTTTCTCTCAAATAAATCTTAAAAAAAAAGAAAGAAAGAAAACCTGAAGGCCTTCCCTGGCCTGTAGGGCTCATGTTACCTTTCCTTCATGTTCCCTGTTATCCTTCCCTTGCTCACTAAGCTCTTGCCATCTCAGTCCTCCCGTGACTTTTTAAAAATTGTGCTGAAATATGCATAACATAAAATTTACCATCTTAACCCTTTTTGAGTGCACAATTCCAGTGGCATTAAGTACATACCCATTGTACAACAGTCACCATTGTCCATCTCCAGAACTTTTCCATCATCCCACACTGAAATTCCATAGCATTAAACATTAACTCCCCATTCCCTTCTCTACTATTCTACTTCTTTTCTCTGTGAACTTGACTATTCTATGTACCTCATGTAAGTGAATTTACAAATATCATATCTTTGTTCTTTTGTGTCTGGCTTTTTTTGCTTAACAGTTTTCTCAAGTTTCAACCATGTTGTTGCATTTATCAGTATTTCCTTCCTTTTTATTTAAATATGTACATATTTTTAAAATTTTATTTATTTATTTTTAAGATTTTATTTATGTATTTGTCAGAGAGAGAGAGAGCACAAATAGGGGAATGGCAGGCAGAAGGAGAGAAGCAGGTTCTCCACTGAGCAAGGAGCCCGATGTTGGACATCCCAAGATTTTATTTTTTTAAGTAATCTCTACACCGAGCATGGGGCTGGAACTCAACAACCCTGAGATCAAGAGATGCATGCTCTGCTGACTGAGCCAGCCAGGCGTCCCCCCATCTTTCTAAGTTTGAATAATATTTCAATGAATGTATATGCCACATCAACACATTTCATTTATCCATTCATCTGTTGACAGACATTGGATGATTTCTACCTTTTGACTATTGTGAATAACGCTCCTGTGAACATAAGTATATAAATATTAAAGTCTTGCTTTCAGGGCATCTGGGT